CCCCAAAACCCCAAAACCCCAGATGCTGGCATTTTATTTATTACTATAAAAAATGAAAATTAGAATTAGATTGTATTGAAAAGCTGCTTTTAAATGTGGCAATAACTTCAATATTAAAATAATTTGTTAAGTTAAATTATTAATGGACAGCGATTACCATTTGTCTGAGTTTCAACCTTTATCCTCTCCCATTAACTCTTATGAATCTATTATTCATGAACCCAATACTCGAACTCAACCCTTGGTTTACAAAAAGCGCCCTAAACTGTCATCTTTGTACAGACACCAAGACGAGTCTAGAAAGCTTTAGGAGCAGCTGAGCAAGACCATTGCTACATCCAGTCTATTTGAAAAGACTTTAAAATACCTAGACCCTGAGAACACAAACACTAATAATGAAGATATTGATGATGAATTAAGGTAGAAAATTTGAAACATAAAGTGAGATAGTATGTTTAACAATAATGCAATCAGGGGAGGAATATAAGGGAAGTCTAGACATAATTTCAGTTTGAAGAGCGATGAGTAATCAACAATGACTACTCAGCTCAAAGGAATATTCACTGATAAGTATGACACCAAAAACCAGGTCACGCCGATACGAGGATTTATTGATAAGTTATCACAAGCTTACTACATGATTGGCAAGCGAGCCAAACCTACTTATGATAACAAAGATCTAGTAGGAGTTAGAGCTGCTGAGTAGAAGAGTCTCGATACAATACAAAAGGCTAGAATGTAAGTAACAAAATAAAACCAAATCTATTATCAATTGCTGAAGACAGATATGCTGAAGCAAGCTACTTCTCCAACAGGTCAGCCAGATATAAAATGTGAGTCAGTTTAGCAATCATAATAGACGACGTTCTTCAAAAAGCGTAAACCCCAAACCTCCCCAGCGATAATGACTCAGGATCAGTCCAAAAGATCCCCAAGAAATAAATAAAGCTCACTCGTATTTTCTAAAACTAACAGACGAAAAAGCTAAACAACAGGGGAGATACTGGAAAGCCCCTCTCCTAAGAAGCATTATATGAAGCCTTAGTTCCAGTCAAGCATTGAATTCCCAGAAAACAACAATATAAACCAGGATGAAGAGTAGAGGAAAGCAAAGATGAAAACGATTATGTAAAAATAGCAATAAATTTTCCCATTTACAAATGATCAGTCAATAACTGAATCTAGAGTGGTAAGTCGCTTTGATTTACTATAAAGAAAAGCTAAACTGCTATAACATAGCTCCCCAAAGTTTAGTAAAGTAAGCACTATGCCTTAGACAGCTCTGGGAAGCATGAGAAATAAGGGCAGTTTATTTACCTCTCCATAGTCTAATGAAAAAGTAGATCCTATCGCTGGACATAATGAGACTTTTTATACAAGTATAAGTAAAAAGGAAAAAAATGAGAGAGCGAAATAATTATAGTTGCAACTTATTGGTGGCAAAGTTTAATTTCGAGAGATACCGACTAGAAAAGCAATCACTAAGCTTATAAATCAAAAGAACTTCGTTGTAAACAGCGATTATCTAGGTGAGGAGATTTAACCAATCAATCTGAATATGAATGCAAACAGTGGCTTAAACTTTAGATAAAACAGACCACCTCCTATGGTGGTTAAAGAAAGCGAGTACTTTTCTAGTATGACATCTCCTGTATCGAGCAACTACCAGGATATAATCTTGAAAAGCCCATCTATGATGGCCATTGAAGGAGGCTAGGGAACAATATATGAGATCGATTAGAGATATAAAAATATAAGAAATCCAATCAACCTGATTAAATCAGAGATAGCAGAGGAGTCTCCCTATGCAACTACGCATTCCATAAGATAGAGATAGTCTCCATAGTCATCTTAGCAACCATATAGAAAGAAGGGCAGTGCAAACAATAATGCAAATAACATCAGTACAACAGGAGTGGGAAGTGGCAATGCTTCAAGACATCATATAAACTCTCAGGGAACAAACCGCTAGCCAAAACTCTAAGCTAACAACTACAATGATGAGTATAGAGTCATGTCAAGCAGCCCATAAAGGCGCAGGTTTAAGAACAGAAGAGGGGATAACTCTGATTTAAGTGCTTGGCTTACTTAAACACCTATTGATTCCTAAAACAATATAACCTAAGGTAATGCACAAGTAGAAAATAGCCCAGTCATTAATACGTTTAATGACTAAGTGATGTCTCTTGGAAACAGGTATAAATGATTGACCTTTTGGTGAAGTTAATTTTAGCAATACCAAATATGATATAGAAGAGGATATATTATCTTGTATATATAACATTAAGTCTTAATTTATATATCAATGTAAAAGTTTTATCATTGTTAATCTTTTTTCGATGGGGTTTTGGGGTTTTGGGGTTTTGGGGTTTTGGGG